ATCATTGTAGGCGTACTGAATTACACTGTTATAACAAATCACAGAGGCGTGAATGAATTGTCGTTTGTCGCCTGATCCACAAATGCACATTTTCCTGATCCACAAATGCACATTTTAATCGCTACATGCACAAAATTTGATACTTTAATACAAACTATAACATTTGTATTCACAAATACGTCTCTATTTGAACAAAATGCTGCACATTAATGCAGACACCGGTTGAAAAGCATTTGTTTCAGTGTAGTGACGCACATTTGCGATTTTTTCAAATCGTGTACACATTAATGAATTGCACTGGGCCTTGTTCGTTGGTAGTTGTGTGTGTGGGGGACGTGAAATGCTGTAAACTGCGACATTAAAAGTCTCAAAATCCAAATGAACCGAACAAGATCGACTCGAACTAGACATCAATTAATGCACGCGTCACCTGATCCACTTATGTACGGATTCCTTTTTGCATGAGCAAGTTATGATATATTAATTTAGAACAGAACATTTTTATTCGCAAACATGTCTGTATTTGTACAAATTGCTGCACAATCATTTAATCCAGAATTCCACAGACTCAAATTGAAAGGCATTTGTTTGTGGTTAGTAAGATACAAGTATAAAATGTATGCAGTACATGGATAATTGTGCATGCATCTATTAATCATTTTGAGTCTAATTTCATCCCATAAGCGTGAGCCTCTAGGCAGTGTTGACAAACTGAACTGTTGATAGAAAAGACGTCACAGAGCATGTGCGCTCCTGTGTGTGTGTGTGTGTGTGTGTATGTGTGTGTTGGAGAGCATGCACGCTTTACAGCAACACCGCAAACAGAAGTTTAGTGATCGATTCGAACTGGGATGCTGCGATGACATCAATCTGGGAAATCTGAGACAGTTTAGAAAAATTGCAAGGTCCTCTGAATTATGTAGAGTTTGTTTGATTTTGTGTTAAATTCTCCAATCGCAAAATCCTGGAAGGACTGGTTAGTGTGCCATTCTGAACACAGCATGAGTCAACAAACAATGCCAGGGAACATGAATTCAACTGTTGACAGTGACTTTTAATGTCATATATTATCAGTTCAGTTCACAATTTTTGTATAAACAGTGTATGAAATGACTATAAAGTGCTCTTGAATGTGTAGTTGATTTGTTGCATACAGTCATTTAAAGGATGAACTTCAATCTCTCTCTCTGTTTTAGTTCAGCTCATCAGAAGAAATCAGAACCAGAGTGCAGCTGTGTGTCTATGAAGAGTGACATGTCTACAGTTAGGTGAGTACATTTCAAGAATAGAGATACACGGTGTGGTCTCAGGTATTAAGATATGATCTGAAAACATGATACAAAATATGTACAAGACATTGTGCTTATTAACTTTTTATATTACAGGCATGAAGTCCTCAACACGTTTAGATCAAATCTGCTGAAGAAGTTTGCGTGTCTGAATGAGGGAACAGCGACGCAGAGAAACCCAAAACGGCTGAATGAGATCTACACAGAGCTCTACATCACAGAGAGTGAGAGAGGAGAGATCAGTAATGAGCATGAGGTGAGACAGATTGAGACACAATCCAGGAGAGCAGCAACAGAGGACACAGCCATCAAATGCAATGACATCTTTAGAGCTTTACCTGGACAAGACAAAGCCATCAGAACTGTGCTGACAAAGGGAGTCGCTGGCATTGGAAAAACCGTCTCTGTGCAGAAGTTCATTCTGGACTGGGCTGAAGGGAAAGAGAATCAGGACATCCAGCTCATATTTCCACTTCCTTTCAGAGAAATCAACCTGATGAAGGACAAAACACTCAGTCTTTCAGATCTGCTTAATTTCTTTTTCCCCGAAACTAAAGAAATAGAAATATCCAGTGAAGAATATAAAGTGTTGTTCATCTTTGATGGTCTGGATGAGTGCCGTCTGTCTCTGGATTTTAAGAGCAAAGTGAAACTGTGTAATATATCTGAATCAGCCTCAGTGGACGTGCTGCTGATGAACCTCATTGAGGGGAATCTGCTTCCCTCTGCTCTCATCTGGATCACCTCCAGACCAGCAGCAGCTGATCTCGTCCCCTCTGAGTGTGTCCATCGAGTGACAGAGGTACGAGGCTTCAATGAGCCACAGAAGCAGGAATACTTCAGGAAGAGAATCAGTGATCAGAGTCTGGCCAACAGGATCATCTCACACCTGAAGTCATCAAGGAGCCTCTTCATCATGTGCCACATCCCAGTCTTCTGCTGGATCTCAGCCGCTGTTCTAGAGAAGATGTTGAGTCAAGCAGAGAGTGGAGAGATTCCCAAGACTCTCACTCAGATGTACACACACTTCCTGATCCTTCAGACCAACATCAAACATGAGAAGGACTATAAGAAGAATGTGACAGATAAAGTCATGATCTTCAAACTGGGGAAACTGGCTTTTCAGCAGCTTGTGAAAGGAAACCTGATCTTCTATGATGAAGACCTGAGAGAGTGTGGCATTGATGTGACAGAAGCATCAGTGTACTCAGGATTGTGCACTCAGATCTTCAGAGAGGAGTTGGGCTTGTATCAGGGGAAAGTCTTCTGCTCTGTTCATCTGAGCCTTCAGGAACATCTAGCAGCTCTATATGTGCACCTCTCCTGTACAATCAAGAGGAGAAATGTGTTTGACCAAACCAAACAGGGTCTGTTGTCTCAAAATTTTAACTGGAAGAAATATAATTCATTATTTGAGCTGCATCAGAGAGCTGTGGATGAAGCTTTACAGAGTAAGAATGGACATTTGGACCTTTTTCTCCGTTTCCTTCTGGGCTTCTCGCTGGAGTGCAATCAGACTCTTTTACAAGGCCTTCTAACACAGACGGACTTCACAGTGGTCCGCTCTGGTTTATGTGTTACTGACATCAGAGCAGAAGATGGATGAGTTTGATCTGAAACAGTTTATTGGAGCACGACATACAGCAGATGAAGTTCTTCAGAATCTGTTACCTGTGGTTAAAGAATCCAGATCAGCTCGGTGAGTAACACTCAAAACAATCACTGCACTTAAAAAAAAAAAAACATGATCACATTTGTGATTTTAGCATGTGCTTTCTTACCAAAGTAACAAAATGGGTGAAATCTCAAAGAATCACATTTCTGGCAGTGAGCAGGAGAGGTGTGTGAGACACACTTACTAAAGCAGCTGAGGAGGTTTGTGTGTTTCTGTGTGAGAGCTGATGATGTAGAGCTCAGTGTGGAAGATGAAGATGAAGGAATGAATGTGAGGGGGTCAAAACTGACAGCAAACAGATTTCTAATGATGTTTATATGTTTGTTTTATTGTCTGTATGAATGACATTTGAATTTACAACATTTTCACATTTAGTTTATCACAGCTGGTGTCAGTTCATCATTCATGTTCTTTAATCTGTACAGGTTTGCTTATTGTGGTGTCACACATGAAGGCTGTGCAGTTTTACACTGATTTAAAAATGTTAATTATCTTATTAAGTAAGAAAATACATGACATAAAACACTAACATAAAAATGTATAGCCAGGGACAACATTTGGGGGGGAAAATAAAATAAATAATAATAATAATATACAACTTGTATAATACATACAATATGTATAAAATATTCTGATCAGTACACAGAAGTCAGCAGCTCTGTCCACAAGCCCTGTGCCGGACCTGTCAGAAGACAGTCCATAAATATAAGTGAAATGTGTCGGTCACGTCATCAGTCCAGCCTTAGAGCCTGATGTAAGCGCTTGCTAAGAGGAGAAAACATGTACATTTACATGTAATCATTTAGCAGACACTTTTATCGAAAGCGACGTACAAATGAGGACAATAGAAGCAATCAAACCAACATTACAATACGCAGCACACGTAGCAAGTATTATAATTTTTTTTAATAAATAAAAATAATGAAAAGTAGATAGAATAGAAATAGAATAGAGAGAGCTAGTGTTAGAGGTTCAAGGTTTTTAAAAAAATATAATAAATAAAACAGGTAGACAGAATAGAAATAAAATAGAGTGCTAGTGTTAGAGAGCACTACTTGGCTTATTCTCTGAAGCAAGTGACAGAAAGAGCCCTTGAATCACCTTTTTTCTCAACACCTCTTCAGAGAGGAGAGAGCACATCCTCCAGCAGCACTGCTGAGCAGCGTCTGGACAGATCCCATGCTGTGCAGAGACTCCCAGACCTGTCTTGCTTTGCATATGTCCTGCCAAAAGTCACAAGGTGTTCAGCAGAGGAGGAACATATATTCATGTCTGCCTCTACTGCCCACCTAGAAGCCCAGGACAGAAGCTGCCATTTGTTATTCATACACAATCCCTCTCCATTCACTCGGGCCATTTTCAGCAACACCTCTTCAGAGAGGAGAGAGCACATCCTCCAGCAGCACTGCTGAGCAGCGTCTGGACAGATCCCATGCTGTGCAGAGACTCCCAGACCTGTCTTGCTTTGCATATGTCCTGCCAAAAGTCACAAGGTGTTCAGCAGAGGAGGAACATATATTCATGTCTGCCTCTACTGCCCACCTAGAAGCCCAGGACAGAAGCTGCCATTTGTTATTCATACACAATCCCTCTCCATTCACTCGGGCCATTTTCAGTTAAATTTTCACCTGCTAGAGACTTGTCCATCGGCCGGGATCCATCTGCAGCACCCGGCCTGGATGCCTGTGTACTCACTTTCAGATTCTGGGCCGAATCAACCGGACCAGATGCGACGGCCGTAACTCACCGACACTGCCGCATCCAAGCCGGACTCGACCCGTTGTGCAGCACGCCAGACTTAGCCCAGTTTCATTTCTATATCTACTGTACTGCTCATTAATATTTCATTTTAAATTGATAACGTTAGCTAGACAAAATGTTTGCTTTAATTTTAATTATATAGATTATAATACATAAATAACATGACTTAAATCTATAAACATCTCATTATTATGAAAGCAGTTTTAAAGTCCATTAAATAACTAGCTTGACCAAGCTGGCATGAGGAAAATTTATTTACAATCCCATGTAATTACAGCAAAAAACAACAGTTATACAATAAGTGTAGATAAAATATTTAACACATTTTGCAAAATTACCCAGGCATTTATATGTACACTTGGACTGTAACATTTAATAAATAAAGGTTAAAACGTTGCCATTTACCAACGTGTTTTTCAAAACACCTTTTACATTTTTGGAATTAAA